CCCTACACCTATTCTTTCACACAAGAGATGCTATATGCTAAGCCTCCTTATTCACACATGAGAGTTTTTGGTTGTCTCACTTATGCAACTTCTATCAACCCATCTCATAAATTTGCTTCCCGAGCCAAGAATGTGTTTTCATTGGTTACCCCATTAGACAAAAGGCTTATAAATTATATGACCTTGATACCTACAAACTCTTCACTAGTAGAGATGTCATCTTCCATGAGGATTCTTTCCCATATCAATCACTGGCCCACCAATCTTTCACCATATCAACATCTGTCTTACCTATTCCTATTTATGACACGCCACTTAGCTCATCACCTAGCCAAGATATCAACAAACAAGATACCACCAATCAAGATACACCAACACCACCTCTTCCAAATCATGACCCGCATATCACCCCAGAGCCACAATTGCCAATTTCTTCTCCACCACTAGTTTCCGCATCACCTTTGAGACAATCCCATCTCAGGTGACGATGCCCCCACATGACCCTATGTCATCTTCCTTGCCAAGTCATCATAAAGGTACTCGTTATCCTCTTTGTAATTATTTGTCTTGCCAGCGCTATTCACCATCACATCTCTCTTTTATTGCCAACATTAGTAGAAGCATGGAACCCCATTCTTTTGCAGAGGCAGTACTTGATCCTCATTGGAAAGAAGCCATGGATTCGGAACTACAGGCTTTAGAGTCCAACCATACTTGGACCATCACCACTCTTCCTCCTGGCAAAGAACTCATTGGTTGCAAATGGTTCTATAAAATCAAGCATCGCTTAGACGGATCCCTAGAGCGTTATAAGGCTCATTTGGTGGCTAAAAGGTCCACCCAGACAGAGGGCATTGACTATCACGACACTTTCTCTCCTACAACAAAAATGGTCATTGTTCGGTGCATTCTTGCTTTTGCCACTGCCCAAAATTGGTCACTTCACCAACTTGACGTGCACAATGCTTTTCTTCATGGGGATCTCCATGAGGAAATCTATGTCTCTATCTCCTTGTTGTCGGCGACAGGGGGAGAATTTGGTATGTCGCCTCAATAAGTCTCTATATGGTTTAAAACAGGCATCTCGACAGTGGTTTGCAAAGTTTTCAGAAGCCATACAAGTTGCAGGCTACACCCAATCCAAAGCTGATTATTCACTCTTCACTTGCAAAAATGGGAAGTCTTTTACAGCTCTTTTAATTTATGTCGATGACATTCTGATTACAGGAAATAATGTAGCTGCGATTAATTCTCTCAAACAGTTTTTGCACACTCGATTCCGAATCAAAGACCTTGGTGACTTGAAGTATTTT